GTCGTGCAAGGTACAACGGCTGGAGGATGAGGGAAGGAAGGAGGGGACGGGGGAGAAGGCGAGAGGAGGGAAGCCCGGCCAGCCGATGAGAGAGAGGATCGTTCGTGCTCTCGAGCCTGAAAATGCGTGGGCGAGTGTGAGCCTGTGAGCTTGTGTCGCGCGAGTCACCACTCTCGGTTGCCCGAGGCCTCCTGCCGTCCGTCATCCTGTCCGCCCGTCCGTATTTCGTAGCGCGCACGCATGCACGCACGCACGTACGCACGCAGGCACACACACGCGCGCACGCCGCTCATCGCGCGTCAGCGAGCTCCGCCAATCACGTGGCGTTCGTGTGTGCGAACAAACTGCGCTTTTTCGCCGTGTCAAAGTGTCACACATTGTTGGAAAATTTGTATTTTCTTGTTAAAAAATATGACGGTTAATATTTTTGTATTAAATACTTAACACATTCATATGTTAATTTAACATATTGCTGTTGTGTTAATTGAATTCAAATTTTTAATTATTAAAACAACAAAAAGAGCAATGGTGGATGTCCTACGCGCTCATCATTTTTTATAGGCTTGTGAAATATTTTGTATATTATATGTTTGCGAGTTTGAATTTTCTATAAATTTTTCAAGATTGTTGTCACGTCTTCAGTTAACTTGAATTTTGTATTACGGAATGATATAAAATAAATCACTATCGATGAGATATAAATAAATAATTAATTTTACAAATAACACGCAACATTTATAAATAAGTTATAAATTGCTTAGCTCTCGATGGTTCTCAATCAATGCCTTCCAATTCCTCTTCCTCTCTTGTTCACCGTCTGTTCCTTCATGGCACTCGTGAAAATACGGTTAATTACAATCGCGCGATGTTTTATACGACACTCCCGATGTTAATCGAACTCTTATGGTTCGACGAGAAGATTAATGTAAGGATAAAAACTATGATTGCGTGAGACTATTCGCTTGATATTCGAAAAACTACTTTAAAACATTATCGATATACAAACGCCCTGAATATTTGTAATGTTGATAAGTAATTAAATTACGTAGTTAAACACGACTATATAAAGTCATTAATTATGTAAAAATTACATAAGAAATACTATTTTATAAATATTAAATTATATAATAATATTAAACAATATTATAAAAGAAATAAAGCAATGCAACACATTGCACGACTCGGATAGGAATCCGATATACGCAACATTTCGTTAAAGACCAAGAAATTTTTTCGAAGATGTGATATTAGCAATTTTACGCACAAGAGTTGATAATCGTTAATAATCGTAAAGAACGATCGCGTTATTTCGATAATGAATACAACGACACGAATAGAACGACTCGCGACACTACCTCCTCACTGGAGTCCCACCGCGCGAATGACAATGAGACGACCGCGCGCGTAAACAATAGCACGCTATACGCCGTGAAAAGCGAGCGCCGAATTTTGCGACAATGTGTTATTGTTTACGTTTTACGGTATGCGACCATGTTATTGTCATGACGAGACTCGAATAGTCTTACGCGAGTCGCTTTATTTATCATCGAGTTTTTTCATCAAAATGCCATATTGAGATAAGTTTTTAAAAGATACGATCCTTATATGATCCCTATATGATTTGGAAACCGGAATCGTGTTTAAACAAAAACTACCGGGACAAATTATATACTCTCTTTCTTGTGTTCGAAAAAGAATTATTTTTTCGTTTCGAACTGCATTATCAATCCGTACAAAATTAATGAATCAATTCAACGACTCGTAAATGCGTTGCGGCAGATTATCGAGGCAGATATTAATAGGATTTAAAATTAAAATTGAGGCTGCGTGTCATCGTCGTGCCTGTTATAAATACCTCTCCGAGCTATTCCGTTAAGCGAGATACGCACGCCTGAAGTACCCTATGTCGCGGGTGGCCGCCTTTTGCACGCGCGACGACGACCATCCCGCCGATCTTATATCGGTAAGTACCTACATACAACTCGACTCTCTCTCGCGTATGGAGATGTTATATCTCGGTGCGTTAAAAAAAAAAACAAAAAAAACGCATGCATACTGGGGGGGCGCGCGTGCCCAGCGGAGGATCTCGAGCGCTTCAGGAGATCCTCTCTTCTACCGATATGCGTGTATACAGTTGGAAAAAATTTATATTTTCTAAACAAATTACAGAGAAGAGAAATGAGAGTGACTACGGACCGTCAATAACCTTTTTTCTAAGTTAATTTTACCATTAAAAATATGTTGATTTTACACAAATTTTATTTCAAATTACTATAAAGTTTGCATTCATTGTGTGTTGAAATATTAACATAGTATTACCATTTAACATATACTATAAAGTTTGCATTCATTGTGTGTTGAAATATTAACATAGTATTATCATTTAACATATCCATATTATGTTAAATTAACACAAAAATTTGTGTGGATTGTTTAGGACACAGGATATATTTTAAATTTGAGCCAGATTTTCCAACTGAGTATCGATCACACGACCACGCGTGGTTGCCAACAACAATATTTGTCTCCTTCTCTCTTTCTCCCCGAAATAAATTTACGGTTTACGCGGGATCACTCGATTTCAATTTGCATAAGTAGTAAAGATGCCGGGGATTGAGTTACGCAACGAGTAGGCTGCGTCATTTCAGGAGGCTGCGAAAGTATCGAAATTATTCGCGGGAGAGGCATGCGCGAAGGAGAATCTCGCATTGTGCAACTCGAAGCCCCGCGGATTAATGACCCGCGGCTGAGGATCTCTTTTTATGATAATTTGTGGATGAAATCGATATAACTAGCACTATGCGGCCGTAATGTAATCGTTTTATTGCTGGATCGTTTTTCGGAAAAACCATCGAGCAATCGCTGTGTTCGTCGCGAAAGATATTCTCTCGCGATATACATATCGTGTTAATATCTAAAATTCTCTCCTTATTTTCGTGCCTAAAATTGTCTGATGGCACTAAAGGATTAAAATCCAAGGATATTGCTCTCTCTCTCTCTCTCTCTCTCTCTCTCTGTGATGTAACGAACTGATGATATATTAATCTTTATCCAAGTGGGAAATAAAAATAATATATATTAAGACAAATATATAAAGTAATATATGTAATTTTTTTTAATAAATATAAATATGAAATAATTTTTTATCTTTAATAATTTTTTAATTTCTTGCAATAAGAAAAATTTTTAACAACTTAAGTATATAACTTTTAAACACAAATATGCAAAAAATTAAAGATAGTGTGATCTTTCTCGTCGTATCAAGATACACAAAAATGACGGTTCTATCACGATATACAAATCGCCCGCGCGGCGTGTGACATCGTGAAAAGTCTCATCTCTAGATCGAATTTATCCGCGAGACGCAACATGCGAGGAAAAGAAAGGAAAGAAAGAGAGAGAGAAAGAGATAGAGAGCGCGGAGCGATCGTCGCGTTATCGACGCCTCGTCGACTCCTTAAATCAGCGCAGATAGATCGGAGGGGTGAAGGGAGCATAAGTGGGAACACGGGAGAGAATATGCTCCTTTGCCCCGTCTCTCTCTCACCTTCAAGGCCCATTCTTTTCTTTTTTTCCGCTCCGTGACGAAGAGGGGACACGCGCATGCAGATCACGTCGGGTTGTAGCCAAGTGATAGCGTATCTGTGGGCGGCGCGTGCGTGTGGTCCTTCTATGTCCCCTTAGCTTCCCTCTTCCTCTCACCCCTTCCTCACCTCTACGATTCCATGCTCGAGGAGTACCCTTGCTTCGGTATCGTCGCCAAACGCGCCGCGTCCGTTTTTTCGATGTCGCTCCTTTTTTTTCCTTTGATATTTTTTTACTTATCCAAATTATACATAATTATATTATACATTATTTATTATACATGATTATATTTCATACGTATTTATTAGATTTAACCGATCGGAAAAGTGCAACGAGATGGCTTCGATATTCATTATAGTGCGATCGTCTTGATTAGGGATGTGTGCCCCCCTCCCGCCTACGCACTTACGCTCTATATAATTATATAAACGTTAAATTATATAATCTTCCCAGAGGCGCGAAGTTTCTCGAGATAATGAAAGAGAGTAGGATAATACATCAGTTGTGCGGAAATTATTGTGCAAACAGTTTTAAAATAATCTCCGCTTATGGACGCGTGTAATAATTAGGCAATCAAAGTGAGCGAGTAATTTACGATACGACTTCGATCTTATCGTTTTGATAATATCGATGTGATATTGGATCTCATCGGAAATCATGTAGAAATTAGGATGTAGATAAAAATGTAAAATTTTAACGAGACGTTATGTCGTTACATTAAAAAAATTTCTAAAAATTCAGACACATTTTTGTCTGAATTTTTTTTTTACAGTGTATATGAATAGTGTCATAAAACCTCTCCTTCTCTCTTTCTCCCCGAAATAAATTTACGGTTTACGCGGGATCACTCGATTTCAATTTGCATAAGTAGTAAAGATGCCGGGGATTGAGTTACGCAACGAGTAGGCTGCGTCATTTCAGGAGGCTGCGAAAGTATCGAAATTATTCGCGGGAGAGGCATGCGCGAAGGAGAATCTCGCATTGTGCAACTCGAAGCCCCGCGGATTAATGACCCGCGGCTGAGGATCTCTTTTTATGATAATTTGTGGATGAAATCGATATAACTAGCACTATGCGGCCGTAATGTAATCGTTTTATTGCTGGATCGTTTTTCGGAAAAACCATCGAGCAATCGCTGTGTTCGTCGCGAAAGATATTCTCTCGCGATATACATATCGTGTTAATATCTAAAATTCTCTCCTTATTTTCGTGCCTAAAATTGTCTGATGGCACTAAAGGATTAAAATCCAAGGATATTGCTCTCTCTCTCTCTCTCTCTCTCTCTCTCTGTGATGTAACGAACTGATGATATATTAATCTTTATCCAAGTGGGAAAGAGATCTATTTCTCGATTCCTTTTTTTTTTTTTTTTTTTTCCTTGAAATACCCGTGGATCGTAGAAAAATATTATTCAAGCCTCTCCTCTCTCTATTTCAAGTTAGAATTCGTTCTCGCGATAATATTTGGCAATCTTCGCCTATCTTTATGGTCAAGTTAACTCAAAATCGAGCTCTCGGACTCGTGCCTGGCTTAAGAGGGACACTTTAAGATTCTGCAGCGAACGTGACGATCGCTGCCGAGACGCTACTTTACGAACGTACGCAACGCACAAAGAGTCCCCATCGGGAGAGGTCATTCCGGCATCATCCAGGACATCATCCCCGACAGTCGGCGTCCTCTCCCGTTCTTCTCGCAACTCCTATATATATATATCCCGACGGTGACGCCGTAAACACGATTTGGCCAACGCGGGTTTTGCGGTAAAACGACGGGCCGTAATTCGCGGTAAAACGTCCGCCGGTAAGAATTTATGAAAGCTCGAACCCGGGAGTCTCCGGGAGTTTACGTGCGCATACACACGTTAACATACATACGTTCGTCGCGTAGGGTGCCCTTTTTCGAGACGGTCGACCGGTCCCGGTGCGAGATTCTCCTTATCGACACGCCGGAGGAGAGGACTGGGATAGATCCCCGAAATAGCGTCGTTGAGGGGCCCCATCTCTTCTCTCTTTCTCTCTCTCTCTCTCTCTCTCTCTCTCTCTCTCTCTCGGCACCTTCGAGAAGAGAAACGTAACTCTAGACGTATCGCGGTGTCATGTCCCGCGCGCACCTGGCGGCCCCGTTCTTTGTAACACAATACACGTCGCGTTTCGTCCTCCTGCTCCTCCTCCACCTCCTCTTCCTCCTCCTTCTCTTTAATTTCTCCGGTCGTGCTCTTTTGTCTCTCCTCTTCTTCTTCTCCAACCCGTCATCGGCTTATATCCTAGCCTGGATATGCGGAACAGATAAAAAAGAAGGAAGCGAAAAGATCCTCCTGGTTTAATACCAGAGGGATCGGAATTCGGTCGGTCCGAAACATACTCTCGTTCGACTAAGCCCATGTGGGAATACTATATAACACCTGATTTATACATCTAGGAGAGATACATACGAGAGGATTTAGTTACTAAAAAAACATTTCGCGGTTTTATATATATAGGCAGACCAATCTTTTATTCACGCGTGTTAAATTGGACGCGTGCCCATCTCGCTCGTATTTTGATGAAAATAAATGCAATCGATGCTATCGCGTCTGGCAACATCCTTTGTTAAAATCAATTTTTCATTTTTTTTTAAATCAGAGTAAAATGTATATAGGAAATCTCGAATATATAAAATTTTATTTATGGAAACCGAGTACTCGAAATTGGGCCCGATTCGATTCGCCCATCAATCGGTTTCGCGAAGAGAATAAATGAGGGTGTAGACGAGACTCTGAGTTAAAAAATAATAATAAAAATGTTTATTTTACACACACGTACAGACAGAACACAACGGACACGTACGGGGTAGGTACACAGTTTAAGAAAAAGAGACATTTCTCTCTCGGCTATACGTTGTTATCAAAGACTATCGCATAACATAGAACAATTACAGATCTAAACGTGCACGAATCTCCATATACGATATATCACTTTTCGTGATGTACATATATAACAATGATTACACTCTAAACATTAACGATGATAGATAAGTACAAGGTAGGTAGATACAGGTGCGAAACTCGCCAATTATGCGAACAGAGGAGATCGAAATCCGTCGAAAGAAAAAAAAAACAAAAAAAAAACAGGTCGACACTAAGATGTTTCCTGAAGGACGATGGTGCTCGAACCGGAAACGGGTATGTCCGACGGCGGTGACGATGGTACTCCGAGATTGTGAGTCAACGAATGCCTCCTCAGATCGCAATTCCTGCGAAAGACCTTGCCGCAGGAGGCGCAATGATACGGCTTAATGTCCGTGTGCGTGAGAAGATGGGTCTTGAGGTTGCTCCTCTGATTGAAGCTCCTGGCACAGACGGGGCATTTGTGCGGCGATTCCTCCATGTGCAAAATCTTGTGGACAGCCAGCGTCCTGCTCTGACAGAATCCTTTGCCGCACTCGGTGCACTTGAACGGTTTCTCTTTGCTGTGGATATACCTGCAACGTAAAAAAAAAAAAAAAAAACATTCTTTTCGGTCTGAATCTTGCGATTAATTTTCATTAAATTATCTCTCTCTCTCTCTCGTAAAACTCTACAACTTTTATCTTGTTAATAAGTCCTTTAATGCTTGAAAATTAATAATCGTTAAAAAAAAAAAAAATCATCAAATAGTACATACAACGCTATTATTAACTGAGATTGAAAAAATAAAAATAGTAACTTAATGAAAAATGAACGAATGTATCGTGACATGTTGAACATTAAATGTAATATACACGTCATTCGATCATCGTCGTAATTACGCGAGGTAGAGAAGGCGTTCCGCGGATTTGTCCGTTCGTAAATCCTACGCGTGTAATTAATTGCGACGCGATAGAGAGATAAATATACGCGGCAGTCTCTAAATCTTCTCTCCGTCGCACGAAGGGAATGAATTCGATAAATACTATACGCGTAAACCGTCATCGAAACTTTTACGCGCTGACGCTCAACTCAATTTTCTTACGTAACGTGTCGTCATGGAATTTATTTCCTCCGCATACATATTCAGAGAGGATTGAATTGAAAACAATTATTTTAATCGATTGTAAGTATCATACTGGCATGTGATTTTTACACAAATGCAAATTTACATATTACTGTTGTTAATGATTCAAAACATAAATTTTGTAATGTTATTTTAACAAATGCTGTTATAATTTATTTTTTATTGTTTATTTATATTTATTATTATAATTTATTGTTGTAAAATATTATTATAATTTGTCCATAAATATGCATTATTCACGTAATATGACATAAAAATAGAATTCAACATAAGGCTTGTGTTAGTATCAAGACCGAAAACTTGTCAATTTATACAATCAAAAAATTAAGCAATCTCCTCGTTAATCATTGAAATTATTTTTGACACGCGTACAACAATACGTGTCGCGGTAAAACTTGCACGTACGTAAAATGCGCTCTCGTAAGGAAAAAATCAATTCGCGATAGACATGCCCGTCGATGTTACCTGTGATCTCTGAGATGATCCTGCCGTCGGAAAGCTTTGCCGCATATGTCGCACGAGTACGGCCGCTCGTCGGTGTGCGTCCTCTCATGGATCAGCAGATTGTAGCTTTTGGTGAACTGTCGGCTGCAGAACTTACAAATAAACTGTTTCTTGGGCCTGGATGTCCGGCAAGTCCTTGGTACACTCGAGTCCACCGCGATCGAGGCGTGTTGCGCGGACGAGGAGGAGGACGAGGACGAGGACGAGGAGCAGCCGGAGGAGGCCGACGAGGACGAAGGCGGGAGAACGCCGGTGGATGAAGATCGCGGGACCGACGCTGCGGCCGTCGTCGACGACGGGCTCGCGCGATTATTCCCCTCGGATATTCGTCGCAGAAGCAGCTCGTGATGTCCGGACGAGGAGCCGCTCGTCCCGGATGTCTCGCTCGATAGGAATTCCGGGGATAGCAGGGCCAGCGCCAGATTATCGTCGGTCACAAACTCCAGCCGTGCCTCGTCGTCCTCGGCCGCGCGGAGCAGCTGATCAACCGTCGGCGCGTCGTCCTTGACAGTTGTCGTTGTCGTCGTCGAGGTCAAGATATTCGACGACGACGAACATCTTTGATTGACCGCCGTCGCCGCGGAAGTCGCGCCGCTCGCGTGAAGACGATGAAGTGTCAGGTACGTCTCCAACGCTTGGAGATTCAGGGCGGCTGCAGCGGCGTGTCCTGGCGGCAGGAGAGCCGCACGCTGCAGCGCGGAGAGGAGGGCGACGCTCTGGAGCCGCAGGGCGACGCTCTGGAGCGCGAGATTGGGCAGCTCGGAGCAGCCGACGGTTACGAGCCCGTCGATCTCCGTGACATGCTCGTCGGCCTCGCGCGGATCCATCGCGAGCGTGGCCGACGAGGACGACGAGGGGGACGAGGTTGATGACGACGGTACCATTACGAGTCTCCGTTGTTCCTGTTCCTGCTGCTGCCGCTCTTCTTGTTGTTGCTGCTGCTGCTGCTGCTGCTGCATCCTCCACCGCCGTTCGAGTCGTCCCGGATTAGCCTCTGGAACGCGCGTCTCCCGTGTCCCGCCGATATCATTGGCAAGGCGATCGGTGATTCTCGATTTGATGGTTCCAGACTGATCTTGATGGGTGCAGCGCAATCGTCGAATCACGCGTGCCGGTGTCCTTCCGGTGCTCCGGTTCCTCCGGTGCGAAACACTCTTGAGCGGATTTCGGGCGGCGCGTCACATGTTCTCGTCGACAAATACCGAAACGGTCGTTTCCCCGACACGGTGTACTCGAAGGTACGACGGTAACCGCGAAAGAGGATACGCGCGCGCGATGCTGGCGGTGCGAAGGCGCCCCGAAGACTGCCCCTGCCCGCCGCTGCTGGGTACTGCTGGTGGAGCCACCTGGTGGCAGGTATCCGAGGCAAAACGGGCCTGTTTGCGGGGAACGGGCCCCGGATTCAGGGGAGAGAGAGCCACAGCTGGCCCGCGCGTCGTTCGCCGGCCCGTCGTGCGACGTTTCGACCCGGACCCCGGCTTGCACGCGGTCTGACGTTAGGTGCCGGTTTGCGTGCCGCGACGGCGTGCACGCGGGACGCACGCGCGTGCGTCCCGCGGGGGGGGAATCCGGAAACGTGAATCGCGATCGCGATCGTGGGGGTCAACAGCTGTTTAACCCGCGAGCGAATCTTCGCTTCGCGAAATGCTTCAAATGGCAAATGTATAAATATATAATTATAAATATAAATAAATAAATA